GCCGCCGCCACTGTATCCCACCGCAGATCGTCGGACAATTGGAGTCCGAGATAAGGGTGGGTCTTAACTGATGTTAGGATTTCATTACAAAGGGAATACTGTGTTCTGGAAGGATTTCTTTTACGGGAAATGTGAAGGATATGGCATTTGGAGGGATTGAACGACATCTGCCAACGGTTTTGCCATTCCGTCAGCACATCAAGGTCAGACTGCAGACCTTGGGCGTCGGAATGGTTGCTGATAGTTCGATAGATCAAGCAATCGTCGGCTAATAACTAAATATACTAATTTAGTTAGTATGATAGTAGTTAATATAAGATTTTGCCTTTCTTGTCAATTTCTTTTGGCATGGGAAAAAGTTAACTTTTAGTGCTGTGTCTTTTGTGCTGATTTTAAACTTTTTGTAAATCTAAAGTGGAGCTGGTTAATATTTATAATTTAGTAAGCCAGAATCCTGGGGACAGCAGCAGTGATGAGGAGACAGACTGGGAGATACTGAGGGAAGCTACAAGTACACAAGGTAAGGCATGGATGGGAAATATGCTTCAAAATCTTTTCATCTTTCAATCTTCGGATGGCTAAAACTGGAGTGCATTTTCTTTCACCTTCTCCCTCTTGCCTTACCCTGTAACCAATAGAGAATTGGTAGCCAAATGGCTACTTAAGTGTGCCAAAGGGTAATGTTAGACTGATCATTATGTCCTCAATTCTAATGTTACATAACTGTTATTCATTTCTACCCTCTCACATCTGTAGCTGAAAGTCAACCTGTGGCAGCAGGTGTACCAGTTATAAAAAGACATGAAGGTGAGACAATGGCTTTTCTTGCACATCTCGCAATGGTGACATCTTGACATCAAATGTGAATGATGCTCGTTATGTCCAAGATAAAAGTAGTGCCTACCAGTTACTCTGGATAAACATTGTGACTGTTTGCTACTAACTCGTAATAATACAGAAATTTGGACTTGTCCAACAGTTTTGTCCTTGGCCTGTACAGGTTACCTGCAGTTGAATTCAACTTTGGTAGACAATGCTCTGGCCTGCAGTATCCTGAAGCTGGCCTCACCTGGAGTGTCACCCATAGCAGGTAGGGGGAGCTCTTCAATATAAGAACTGCACCAAGGAAGAAAAAAAACTCTATTACCCAGAACCATTAATATCTGAATCATTTCTGATGTAAAATTACATGCATAGTGGTTGAAATGGACTCAGGGTAGAGTTTCATTTGAGAAAGTTATTTCATCTTTCACATGCACACGCCTTGCCTTGGTTTCCAATTATAATGTTTTTCTAATGTTTACTGGTTATTTTTAATAAATGTTGTAGATAAAAATATTTATAAAGGAATTTCCATGTGTAAATTCTGGAGCATCATCTACCATGTAATTCTTGACCCTCCATTCAGTTTTCTTTGTGTTTACTGTTTTTCACAGCAATTTTTTTTTTTTTTAATGACGATTTACCACATTTGTGGAAGGATTGACATAACAGGTGACTATCACCTCTTCAAAGATGTCAACCCCGAGACCAGACTGTAAGGCTTGAACCACTCACACCGGGAAGGTCCCCTACTCTTTTTGATAAGTGCGGTGGGTTCTTTAACGTGCGTGGGGTGTGGCTCTCCCAAACACGGGACCTCCATTTAACGTCCTATCCGAGGGACGTCCCTAGCCGAAGCTAGGTACTCATTTACACCTGAGTGAAGTGAGGAAAGTCGTGTAAAGTGCCTTTCCCAAGGGCACAAGATCGGTGACATGGGCAGGGTTCGAACCCACGACCTCTCCGGTGTGAGCCGAACGCGCTACCGATTGCGCCACACGACCCCACAAAAGGAAACAATTTTTTAGGAAACAATTATTAAGAGATTATTACTGACCAAATAAATCTAGCACTAAAGCCCTTCAGAGAGCATTTTCCATGTACTTTCCTGTCTTTGTCAGATGTTGCCCACACCACCAAGGCCATTGTTCCTGAGGTCTCACCCCAGTATGTCCAGACCCAGCCCAGGATTCAGACAGAGGGGACCAAACAGAAACACTCTGTGGAGAAAAGGTGAAGTCATGACTTGGCACCTCATGCAAATTTCATTCCACGATCTGTAGGTTTTCACTGCTAGTTTTAAGTTAAACCAGATTCTGATCCACAAGAAAAGTTACTTAAGCAACGGGACAGATTTGATTTTGAAAACAGGTTTTAGGAAGCATCCAGTACCTTCCGTCTGACAAGCCTATCCAGTTGCTAGAATAACTGCCATCAATGTAAAAGCAGTGACTACTAAGGACAAATTTACTGAGAAAAGAAACGAGAACTTTATCTATCCACCTCACGGTCCTGTGAAAGAAATTGCTAAAATTACACACTTGTAAAAAATGCTACATTCAAAATTGCTTACAGGATGTTTCTGTCCATGGTGCTGAATGTATCATCAGTTTGTTTCTGAATCAACCAAAATCCACTCAGATCTTTTACTAGCAGTTTGATGCAACTTTCTGGACTAGTTTCTTGTTGGTTCCTAATCCAGTGGATTGCTGAAGCCAAACAAGACTGGAGAAGAGAATCTAAAGGAGACATTTCCAGATGAAGATCAGGATGTCAGGAAGAGAAAGTCAGAGGCCCATCCCCCTTCACAGTCAGGCCTGAGGTCTCATCTCAGTGGCTCAACACAGGTAAAGTCTCTTCTTGTAAAACTCTGGTAAAACTGAGGGTGTTTTTTGCCATGTCAGGTTATGCACAAATCAATCAAGTAATCCACTGACAACCTGGTCTAACAGGACAGCAACTCAAAGAAAGAGACTCTTCCCTACATTATACAGGGCAGTGGCAGCAAAAGAGTTCGCTTTTCTGCAGATCTCAGCGTCTCCACAAATAACTCAAGAAACACAAATGCCTCCTTGCTTGTCAAGTCTGTCAGATCAAGCAGTGAGACACAAAAGTCCACGTCCAACACTAGAAAGAAGGTGAGTTGTGAGATTATATTGTTACACTCTTGTAACTATTTATGGATGTTTTGTACTACATTTTTTTTTACACAAACCAATACTCTTGATGTAACTTACAATAGAAAGCTATATATATATATCTATCGATTAGAGGTAAAGATGCTTTGAGGTTATTTTTAGATTAAGTATAATATCAGTCGCTAGTTAGTATCAACAAATGATTGTAGAACAAATGTAACTTAACATGTACCTGTGTCATTTGTTAGCCCATTGTTTAATCGATAGTGCAATTCAGCTAATCAACTATGCATAAAAAGTTGGCAGCAAAACTGTTCATGTGTAAAGTTTGACAGGTTTGAATATGAAGCCATGACATGTATTAAGACTAAATAATGTTCTTTCTGTGCAGGTTCCAGCAACCCCTCACCATTCCACATCGAGAGTTCGGCAACGTGTCAGCACAGCAAAGAGTAGCCGCCGTGGCAGAAATGTAACTCTACAGACCAGTGTGAGTTTTTTTTTACACATTATAGCCCTCATTACCTGGTATAGGACATTCTGTAGTGAAATATTTGTGCTGCATCAGAATAGTAGCATATTCAGTACCTATGTTTACAGAGTCTTTGTTTGATTGCATGTTTGTTTGAGTGCATGTTTAGTTATTTTCACACACCATAGGTATCTTAGGAACACTGACAGAAAGTTAGGTCAAAAGTCCCAGAAAAAATTAATCTTATGTTATGACCTGTCTTAAAATCCCTGCTATGTGCATGTTTCATGCCTTATGAGAGTCAGTTGACATAATCAGCAAGAAACTTCATAAGTTTCTAGCTGAGAAACAAAAATTCTTCAGAGAAACAAAAAATTTTTAAAACTCTTATCATCTTCTACAGAGATATGAGATCTTTGATCCTTGATTCAGTAGAAGGCATGTTGTTGTCCTTTGCAAAATATATTTTATATTACTCTCAAATGATAAGTATCACATTATTCTTATGTCTACTTTTTTTCAGAAGGATCTGTCAACAATAAATCCACCAACCTATGATGAAAGTGACTTAGTCATCAACACCTCCCTTCCTGGAGCAACTGTCAACTCTCAGGAGATAGCTCCAGACTCTCTGTCATTTGAGCAACAGAATAAAACCAGTGGAAGTGTCAAGGTGAGTAGCTCAATATTATGAATCACAAATTGCAGAAAACGTTCTAGCCTTGGGTTTGAAGACTGCTATCATGATGGTCATATATTAAAATTCAAGCACTAGCAATTGTTGGGGACAGGAGACATCATTTGCAGACTTAACAGCCATTCTTTGTCCAAAGTACTTTTTCCCTTGCTTCTGTTTCTCAGAAAGGCAGGCACAAAGGCAGGAAGTCTGCTACCAAAGCTTGCAGTGCAAGGAAAACCACCACCCCTAAAGCACAAGCTTCTGCCAAGGTATCCACCAACTCTACTACAAAAAAGCTTCAACATTTATTAAGAGATGTTGTGTGTTCCCAAAGGTAGTTCCTTAACCTTTTTGAGGCTGTAGGGGAAAGTGGGTTGTTGATCCACTGTGTCTAGGGCATAGTATTGGAAGGCAGAGCCCATCCCGCTCCTTCCACCACCTTTTACCTATTCCAACCAAAGTCAGGTATTCCTTTTACACCTGGGTGAAGAAAATAAGGTGTAGCCTCTCAATCTTGGGTCCACTACCCTCACCAACATTGTTGTACACAGCACTTTAAATTCATACAATTCTATAGTTCACTTTTCAGGGTACTTAAACAATTATGCAACAATTCTTGTTTTTATTCTTCCATTAATTCAGCGTCTCCGCCATCAGTTTGTGCCAGAAGCCTTCCCTCAGTGCTGTGTTGAACAACAGGAGTTTTACAGTGACCAGACGGCCGCGGTGCTTATGGCAGTGAGAGGGGACTCTTCGGATGAAATGGATGCAGAGGAAGGTAACACTGGTTTGATATTACCGTAAAGTTTGCAGGGACTGAAATTTGCTGTAAAGGGGACGTTTGCGTTGTTCTAAGTTAGGCCTAGGGAAAAAAAATTAGTGTTTCCTGTTTCAGTCCTGAACAAATTAGGGTTGGTAGGTACAGGTATTATTTTTCTTCTTCTTTTTTCTTTTTTAAGACTTTGGCGATCTCTAGCGATCTTATACAATACAGTTTAACAAAGTAAAACTTCCATGAGGACACTTTCATTTTCAATATCAGTGTTGAAAACCAATTGTATAATGTTTTATTACTCGGGTGTCAGATAATGGAGCTAGAAAAGGTCGATCAGGTCAAAAAATTCATGTCCCCTGCAGGGGTCAACACATAAAAAAAGGCAAGGCTAGGGTCGGCAGTTTTTTTCTAGGGTCAGTCGGGAAACAGGAAACATAAGTTTTTTCCTAGGCTCTAGCGATGAAGAGGGGGCTTGCAAATTTTACAGCCTGATGATTTTACAGTGGAAAGGTCACCGTGTACATTTAACCACTGCAGGTATTCCACAACTTACAGTACCTCACTTCAGTCTGCTCTGTACATGTAGAACGAAATGCAGTCACGAAGTAGAAATGTGGGAATCTGTTGTAACTACACATTGAGACAGTAGTCATGTGTTCTCTATCTTTCCTTTGCAGAGTTTCTTAAAGACCTGCCCTACACAACCAAAACGGGGACTGTTTTGATGAAGACACACCAGATACAACCTTGGTGACGTTAAAACTGACAGACAAGATCCCAAATAATCATCTGACTTCTTTTCGTCAGTGAAGATCACTCTTTGAGGAGATGTTGTAAATGTTGCTCCTCAATGTACTAAGATATCATTGATATTCCTAGAGAATTATATACCAAGGTATCCTATTAGAGGCCTGTACTTATTTTCCTTTAAGGTAACACTAAGCTACCTTGTATCGAAACTGTCTTTGATGAGTATAGAAAAGTATGCAGTATATAGAAATGTTGTGCTGTTTATGTATTCTAATATATTTATTTAAAAAATATTAAAAAGGATGTGTTAGTAAGTACAATGTAGTTATGTCCAAAGTTCCCTATGTTTGCAAGATATCAAGCCATTAACAGTGGTGCAAATCTATAGAAAATACTAAAAAATACTGAAGGAGCTTGAGTTTAAAGTCAGTCCAACTAAAGTTCATATGTATAGCTACTGTTGAAAGAGTTACAATATTGCCAATACTTACAGTGATCTATACTGATAGAACTGTTACTCAATTGTTCAACGTGTATCGACATTCTGTCTGTTTAAAGAATTTATTCAAACAAACTTTCAAAGTGTACTAAGTTAGTATATATTTATGTGCATTATAAATCGAGTTAAGAATTGGTCAAATTGTGACACAAACTAAGAAAGTATAATTGACATATGTATCATGTGTCGGCCATTCTTGACCAGATCTATGATGTGACTTCAAATAAACCTTAAAAATCTGCATGTTTGTAGTGACATCTTCAAACTAGACTGTAGAATGTATTCTTCTATAGCTTATTAGAATACAGAAGGTTTTGAGTCGTACTGTTTATACATGATTTACGTTTCTGTGACCTTTTGGGCAAAAAGCTTACAATACAAGTCCATTTAATACACTACCAGTAAGATAAACACAAAACCTTTAGAATGCAAAAATAGCTGCTTAAAGAGAATTACTAGTTGTTTAGATTAGTTGCATAATGTGTATTGGTGTAAAATATTAATGCCAACATAACCGACCATCTAAAACAAATATTGTAAAAGGACTTCACCAGTGTCCTACATAATGTCAAATATCTCACCAAACTTAACAAGAAATGTACACTGTACACCTGACATACATTCTCAGTCAAGAAGCTATGAACATTTACAGTACTTTACAAGTATCAGCTGATGCTTCAAGATACTAGTAATTTGGAAAATTCCACTGTTAGCAAGAGTCAAAGAACTATGACCATGTTGAATCTTTTCTTTGTGAAATTTAGTACACATGTAGTACATGACACTCCACAGGTACCCACAGACTTCTTAGTTCTTACTGCTGAAGATATTGTGGAAAAAAATCCAGTGTGGACTGAAAAAGTGGCTACAGTAATCAGGTGGCCTACATCTAGGCATCCGCTACACTACATAATGGTACATACAGCTGTGCATTCAAACAGTAAAAAGTATACAGGTATAAGTAAACAGGTTAAGGTACAGACCTGTATCTGTGCGGCGCCTAAACAAGTCTGGCCAATTATCTGTAAGTTATACATGTAGCCAACTGTCTTTTTTACTGGTAAATCATTGTCTTTTTAGAAGTTTTCATGATTTTCCAACACTAAATTGTCGCACTGGTGTTTTTTTTTTCTTTTTTTGTTCAGGAACAGATGTACCGAAATATTTTCGCAGGTATTTGGTACAAGGCCCTAATGGTTAATGTACTACAAACCTGCCAACATACAGTCCAGAGCAACTGAAGTTTGTGGAGTATTTCTACTGCTTTTTCTTCTTCCCCTTGCTTGGTTTGGCCAGCAGTGCTGGGTCGTACTGGTGTCTCTCCAGCCCCTTGACAGAGAACAGTCTGCTGGCTCTCTCCTGCAGCGTACCCCCACACTTCAGCCCCAGGGCCATCAGACCTCCCTTCAGTCTGTCCAGTCCTAGGGACTCCAACTCTCCTGCTGAGCTGTACTCACTTAGATCAATGGCTTCAGGCTCCTGTCAGAAGTAATGAAAAAACTAGAAATGTAACATTTGCAAAGCAGATACATCATGTTTACCTTCACATGGTCTAGCCTAACAAACTACTGCTCAAACACATTCATATATACATGTATGTGGTTACCAGCCTCTCCAACTCTGTACTGCCAATTGCTACATAATATAATCCAACCCCACAGGGTGTCAGCTACAGATAGTGACGGTTGTCTGGTTGACGGTTGACATTATTTGTTTGGAACAGAAGACACCAAGCAAAAACAATGTTTTCCTTTTACGAAGGTAAAACATAAAAAATCATACAGAGAAAAGAAATTGCTTTCAAAAGTTTCCATCTAATACTACTATTATAGTCTTGTTATATATGTAGAAAGCGTGTAATGGTACATGTGTGTTATACTTTACCATGTGCAAAATAAACAGTGAAACTTCTGTTTTTCAGTTGTAGTAACTCTCCACTGTATCACTATAGTTCAGTTTGGTAAATGCCTGGTGCATCCTAAACTTCTTCACTCAATCTTAAAGTCTCACAAGAACTATCACAATCTTACAAACTCACTGGAGTAAAACATACCACTTCTTTCTTTGGCTCTGACTTGTCAGCTTCTTTCTTGTTGCTGGTGACTAGAAATTCGTTCTTAGGTGGACTCAGCACCTGAAGTAGACCTGGTCGGCTGTCCTGTTGCACACCAGCCTCACCATCACTAACACCACTTCTGGGCTGCAGCAGTGGGTTCTTACTGTCACCTTCACAGTCCTCTTTAGAAGAACTTGGTGTGTCTTTTTCATAGATGGCTTCAGATGAACTTGTATCAGTGTCTTCTGTTGCACACAGACCTGAGGCAGCACTACTGCTAGCTGCAGCACTGGCACAGCTGGCAGAGGCACTGGCCCTTCCAGTAGACTGTCGAGAGCTGGACCCCCCACTGGAGCTGCTGGAGTCGTCGTATGATGCTGCAGCTTCCATGGGTCTGGCAGACAATTCTTCGTCGTCACTGTCACTGTCAAGACTGTCCAAGTCCTCCATTCCTTCCAGACCAACCCTGGAAATACAAATGATCCTGTTATCATCCAAACTTGATGTGATACACACAGATTCTACATCTGTTTGTCCTACTGTTTTGCAATCACGTTGTCAAAGTGTCATGAATGCAAAATCCGATTTACTTCAACAACAAAAAAAACATTTTGCTTCTTTCAGTGAGCACTTAATGATAAATTACCATCAACTGTGAATGGCTTACAACAATTTCAGTTGTATCTGTCTAATAGTGATACCCCTACAGTACTTAAATACCAACATGTTTCCCAGGCAGGAGGACTTACCAGGTACAGAGCTTCTTGGTGCCCGAGGCAGCCGGGCCTGCCTTCCTCTTCTGTGCAGCTCCACTGGCTGCCGCTGCTCCACTGCCAGATGGTCCAGCTTTCTCAAGTCCTGGGGAAACACAGCTTCATGAGTGATTGCTATCATTTAACCTTTAACACAGATTACTTTTCTTAAAAAGATACAGGGAAGTACATGTACATTGTACTAAGTAACTAGAGTGGTAAGATTCGCAATGCAAATACATAGTGTTTACCTTCATGTGGTCTAGCCCAACAGGCCATTGCTCAGTTTATTATTACTCAAACACATTCATATTCATATACATACCAGCTCCACCAACTCTGTCCTGCCACTTGCTACATAATGTAATCCAACACCAAAGGTTGCTACAGCACCAATTACTACAGTGACAGACAACTGCCTTTGGTCACTAACCTCATTTGTTTGGAACGGAAGGAGAGGAAGAAGAAATAGAGCAGAAACAACATGTTTTCTTTCTGCAAAGGTATAAACAAGAATAAATGCTGCTTGTGTGTAAAGTACCTTGTTGCAGAGAGTCAGACATCCCTTCCACGATCTGTCTCTTCTGTCGCTCGTACTCAGGGTCGTTAAAGAAGTGCTTGTTCCTGCCCAGCCGCTCCTCTCGCTTGCGCCTCTTCTCTTCCTCACGTTCCCTCTCCCGCTCAGCTTTCTTCCCCAGCCATTCCTGCAGTCTGCATTGGTAAATACATTTTGTACAAATCAATTGCAAATTCAAGTTTTTTTTACATTATCCAGAAATGCTTCCAGGACAAGGATTAAAGATGTCCATCAACTTGTACAAAGTTATTGGGAACAAGTATTTCCCCCCTCAGTTGGAGGGATTCTGGGCCCTACTAGGGTTTGGGTTGGCGTTAGGAAGGGCATCCAGTCGTAAAAATCTTGCTTTAAAAAAGACTTGCACTTGAAGCAAGCACGTCTAACCCACAGTTAAGGGGGAAAATGATGTTAAAATTAGAAAAATTGGAAGAATGGATGAGTTAAGAACCGACCTTTTCTCATCGTTGACGTCCCTCATCCTCCTGCCGCTCAGGTCTCTGCAGGCCTCGTGGTTGGTGGTTTTCTCGATCTGTGCACCAATGGCTCGCAGCATAGACCCAAAACCTGCACATGGAGAAACCACCAGAAAACATATCTGTCATTGGTCTGCAAAAGATATTTCTGTATGTAAAAGAACTCACACAATTATCAAGAAGAGTAGTGGTGACCCAGTGTGACAACTGACAAAACACCAAGATTATAGGCAACTGTTGAGTCTAGGGTGTCTCCAGTAGTTATCTGCTACTAGTAATAGTATACTATATGTAAGAGATTTGTTTGGAAGCCTTACCTCCTTTGCCTCCAACCAGTCGAGGCCAGACCCTGTACACCCCTCCTGGCTGAATGGTATCCTCCTGCTGCACAATCTTGCCATGGTGTGTTACCACAATATCTTCAGGAGAAACTCCCTGTCAAAGATTACATGCATTTGAAGAGAAAGTTAGAGAGAGTGGATGTCAGCATCCAGTTAATCTAATTACATGAAATAATAACATTTGTCGAAAATGAATCCTTGAGACCTGGCCTAGAAATGATAAGATTTTGGGTCCCCTGGTGGCTTCTGGGGGGGGGGGGCAAAGATGCTTTCCTAGGTACTCCTGCAGAACTTATATCTCATGATCTAGACATGCTAGGGTCACGAATTTGGGATGGCTGATAGCTCTTGTTTGTGTATATGAACCCCTTGCCAGCACCATCCCATATGTCTGTTGCGGTACACCTTGTCTCGTTAGACGAGAGTTCGTTTGATTTTTCTGATAAAATTATTATGTATAACATTTTGTTTAGAGCTGATAAACGCATCATGTCTTTGGAATAGCCTATAAACACAGGGTGCCCCCTATATGACTCGGGGTGTAATTACAACCTCTTACAGACCAGCAAGTCTCCGTGAGAGGTTCGTTTCATACCAACAACTCTAACCAAAGCATCTTTGCCCCCCCCCCCCCAGAAGTTTTTGTATGTTGAGAAGTTCAGAGGGCTTTCTTACCTCAGTCCCACAGAGAAACTGTTTCAGAGTAGTTCTAGTCGATATACCATTGATCGTTACACAGCTGAACCTTCCATGTAGCGGTGAGACGAAAATATCCATGGAGTATCGCAATTCAGACAACTGAAAACAGCCAAAAACGCAGAGTGACGCAGAACGAAACGAAACGACTGCGTTCCGGAAATGCTACGAAACAGCTCTGTTTCCGGTTTATGGAGAATGTTACATTTTTGCACAGGGGTGTTCAGTTGTAAAACCTCAATCATTAGGGTTTGAACTTGAAAGATTTTCATAAAGAAAAATGTTACGATTCAGGTAAATAAAATATTTCTAGTATGATATTTAAATCATATAAGTAGGAAATATTTGTCAGTTATAGGTAATAAATAGGCATGCTGATACCCTTGATGGAACAGTCCTTTCCCAGCATGCTTTTCAGTTTTGTGTACTGTGACCTAGCTACCAAACCGGACATCCACTGTCAGCGCAAATATTATATTTTGATGATTTAACGACGTTTTTATCAATCCACACAACCTGTGAACCTGTAAACATTGTCCAGGGGCCTTGTCCATCATGTCTGCCGTGGTGACGACCGAGGTTCCCGGCGTGAACGCCGCCATAGAACACATGATGGAGCTGAAGGGGAGGATGAAGAGTGAGAAGTTCGGGTTTGAGGAGCCTGACGTTGGACACTTGGATGTGGTGGCGGCGGCGCTCAAGGAGTTGGATGACGAACGACTCAAAGTTCACGATATTCTCGAAGTCGAGACTATCAAAGCCAGCATCCTCAGGCATCAGCTCATGTTCCTCCCAGAACAGATCAAGGCTGAAATTGCACAAG